GAACTGAAACTTATGTTTTATTAGCCTGAATGTTTTTATACCTGCACAGGATCAAACATGTCTTGGTTTCTTCAGTTCATGCTGCTGATGCCATTAAATTCATCGTAGTTTCCTTTAAAATGTAGAATTAAACCGTTTTGTTCATCCAGTCACATTCGGACCTGATGTGGTTCACTTTTAAACTCTGAGCTTCATTAAAGCTGCAGAGTCATGCGTGAAATTTCATTTTCAGTTACTACAAAATAATTCTTAAATATCGAGATGTTCTTGTTTTTGCAGCTTTGGGTTGTTTGGCCTCATCAGAACCTTCAGCACCAAATCACTGCACTGGTTCTGATCCAGGATCTGAGGCTCTGATGGGAAAAAGCTGCATGTTGATAAACAGCAGCTCTGACGACAAACATTACAGAAGAAATGACCTGAAGAAACACTGGTTCTGGAATCAGAGTCAGGTTTCTGCTGTCAGGACTCACTGATCCTGTATGTAGAATATGTTCTGGATGGTTCTGATTCTGCAGCTCCTCTGGCTGTGTGGAAACACCGCTGCAGTTTAAACGTGTTTGTGTCTTCTGAGGTCTTCTAGCTGCACTTGCAGGACTTGACCTTCATGTTGGACAGCTGCTCGATCTTGGGGGTCTTTCCGATGTAGTAGAGGATGGTGAGCGGCTCCAGGTCCTGGGACACGCAGCAGGGCGACGCCGACGCCTCGGGGTTGATGGTGTTGTAGAGACCCAACACCTGGAACAGAACAGAGCTTAGACTGTGACTCAGCACTCGGCTCTGAGCGGTCACACCTGGTCTACTGTACCTTGGAGTGCTGGGTGTCAGCGCTCCACAGGTAAGGACACGCCCCTGCACAGAAGTTGGCCTCGTAGCCTTTGGGCTCGTGGATCCACCTCCAGCCGAGGTCCTTCTTAAAGTCAATGTAGAGCGACCGCAGGCAGCAGTTGTCTTGAACGTTTCTACAAAGACATAAAGGTGCATCAAGTTTCTGACTGTTAAAGATGGAGCAAAAACACACCTGAACAGGTGAAGAGTCGGAATGTTTGAATTGTTATCAGCTGTTATCAGACAGCTTTATGTCTATCAACACACACAGTCCTTGAGTCAAGTCAACCCTCTGAGCAGTTTCTGGTTGTTTTTTGCTCATGTTTCTCTTCAACATAAAGTCCTGCAGCTCTGTGGAACCAGAACATGAAGGAGGAGAGAGAACTCAGAGACGTCTTCTGTCAGCAGAACTCAGAACCACAGAGAATGTTGAATTTCTTTGTTTTTTACATTTTACAAAAACGTAAAAACCTGGAACCATCATGTCCAACATGTTTCCTCAGATGTTAAACCATGGAGCTCATGTGGTCTCCTCATCCTGCAGATGTTGAACTATCTCCATGTCTCCAGACTTCTCTCTGCTCTGCTTATCA